AAATAAAGATCTGAGAAGTTTTTTAAACAGCTATGAATTTTTATAATTTTTACTGTGTAAATTTGTAGATTATTATTGATCTTGCATGACGGTTGATTCGTAATTTGTCGAACCCGGAAATCATTTTACGCAGTTTAACCCCTGACATTTTAACTCATTTTGAGTTCACGCGTATTGGGCGTGTTTGTCGGCGGGAAAATCCTAATTCAAATGATTTCTCACTGTCGATTTTTATTATTTCTGGTTTATTTGTCACATTATAAGCAATACATTATTTTTGTTTTACTTCTAGTGTTGCATATTGTTCATTTATTTCCGTTGCTTGTTTTCATTTGCCGTTCTATTCCCTGCCGTAGTTCGATCTGCCCGTTGTCAATTTTCGTGAATTTTCATTTTTTTTTGCCGGGGATCTCCTGGCAAACGCCCACCCCTTCTTTTTGGCAATTTTCCATGTTCAAGACCCTGGGCTTATACCCGGATAAATACGGTAATGTATACAAGTGATACTGTGAAAAGAATGGTGGGCGTTAATCTCTTGAATATGGTGGTATTTTGGGGGGGTGTCTTCAATGTGTACCACTTTGCATACTATGCATAGATATATATATATATATACTTTATTTTAGCTTGGAATTAATTAATGTTCGTTATTTTGGCTGAAGGAATGATTCAGTGAAAATAAAATCCAGCGAATATACCTTTTTTCCTATATTTTACATTCAACTCATCAAAAATCAGTGAAAATAAGGTCCATAAGGTCTTTTTCAGTGTAAATTAGTTCCAGCTAAAATATTTTACAGTATTAAAAACTATTATAAATCCGTACATGGGTTTAGTATTTGCCTAAAACACTTACAAAAACACTGCAATGTTTGTAGGTATTATTGATATTGGTGTTGACCATATGAATATAGACTGACAACAGGCTTCATTTATCTAGCATCAGTTATACCAGGGGGGCTGTGATGACACTCATTACAACACCCTGGTTATACCATACAACCGGTTTAATGACTGGTTTAGCTGGCACCAAAATTAGCCCTGTGTCCTTGGCTTCGGTTTTGTCATGTTTGTATCTTCCAATGTGGTTAGTTGAAACCCCGTGCTTGGTATTTGTACCCTCCAAGGTGAGAGAACACAATCGAAGAATAAGCGGCGACTGGGCCCAACGTTGGGAATAGGCCCTAACCCTGATCCCATGACTACGGAAGCCATGAAAATGGTGGATATTGAGTACAATCCGACACCCGACGCGTGGATCCGTGTCAGATCACCGTACATAAATGTCAAAATCTGTTGTTACGTGCCGAAAATATTCACTTTACAAGCAATATTATGCACTCACCTACAATGAACAATCCACTAATTCAATATAACAAGTTCCTAAATGGAAAAAAAATATTTCAAACAAAGCTGAACAGACGATCAAAACATAGCTGGAAAGTATGTGATGCACTACGCATGCGTATATTTTGCAGCGCCCTCGCTGCCACTATTGAGAAATGCGGAAGTTGAATCTTGTACCCGCATGAAAAAGTAACGTACACAAAAATACGACACGTGTATACCACGCTACGTAGCGTGGTGACATGTGTATATGAAGGTACGTAATTAAACAGGGGATCGAAAACTTGCTTGGTTCGTTTTTTTGTAAACACTGACGTTAATTGCTCTTATCATTATCATAGTATGATATACTAGTACTTATGGTTGCATGCAAGTCCAAATGTTTATTATCAATAAAGTGGACATCATCATCATCATTCATCATCATCATCAAATTTACATTTTTTCCCAAGATTTACCAAAAATCTAAAGATGAATTAGTAAAATTTACATTATGTATATGGAAAATATTTGTTGTTTCTTTTTTCCCGCTCAGTTGTGTATTTTAACAATAGTAACACTTTCTAGCAAGTCTCAGAAGGACTTAGGCGGCAACTTAGCAAACATGCTCACTAATTCGGTGTTAACTTTGGTCTTTGACTAAATCAGAATTGAAGAACATAAACAATTTTGCATGTTCTTCAGTCCTTTAAAACCTCATAAACTTAAAATATATGACCTAGCATTTAATGGTGAATGAAGGGTAATATTCAAATTGTAAGTCATCTGCATTAGTTAAAGGGCAGTGGTCAGCGCATGTTCGAATTTCATGTAAACAAATAATGTATTTTACATGCGTTGATTCCCATATCAAACAGAATGTGACTCGATGACCATCACCCTTTAAAACCAAATTAGTTGGCGAATTAGTTTACTAACTTGCTACCTCAATACTTCTGAGACTTGCTGTATCATTACAGTAAGAGACTATAAAAGTAGGTAATCAAGAACCATACCTGTGTTTTGTAATATCCACTAACATTTGAACTTTGAACATCTACAGTTGACACAATGTTGAGTTGAATACAGTTGTATGTGCCACTACACTGGTGAAACACTAAAATGGCGGAACATGTGACATTAGTTAGTAAACGTGAGGTTTCGGATGATTCAAATGATCATCATTCATCCGTGACAAAGCCAATGTGCAAATATGGCATGAAATGTTATCGTAGAAATCCATCACATTTTGAGGAGTACAGTCACCCAGGTGAGTTTTTGTTTGTTATGGTATTTATTTGATACTCTTAACAGCAACCGATTTTGACGTCACTGGTGAAAATTAATATAATTTCCAAGTCAGTGTCGTCCAATCAGCAATCAGCCTTGTGTATATAGAGTATGGTACAAAAGAGTACCTACCTTGGCGTTTTTTGACCGAGATGCTGAATTGTTCATGTTATGAACATTGAGTTACAAAAACATTTAAAAAATGACCATGCCTATATTTTTAAAAAAACCATGTACACCTTTGCTAAAATATGCCCAAATTGTAACTCGATGTTCAAATAACAGTTAACAGAAATTCAAGTTATAGGCAATGTACATGTTAATTAAAGTTAAATGTGGACTTTCAACAAAAACAAAAAAATGTATGTTGCCCGTAACTCAAACTTCAGTTAATTGAACATCAAGTTACAATTTAGGGCACGGATCTAGAAGCCGTACCTACACACAAATTGGTGACGTCACAAAATACATGACCTTCAATCGGGGTCGTTTCCTCGGTATATACGAATTGGTATATACAAATTACAATAAAGATACTTAAGACATTACACATAAGGTAAAACAAATCATGTGACAATATAATGATAATAACGGTAATAAATCCTAGCTTAACAGTTGAACAGAACGATCATATAGTCAGTCGGGTGACGCCGAGATTCACGCACTTGTTGCAAAATGGTCGTGTGGTTGAAACTGGGTCATGGCGTGACGGGTGAGGAAGACATCATAAACA